CAAATACTGACCTAATACACAACCTTATACAACAAATCAATAATCTAACAGATATACAAATACAACTTAACACAACGGTCGAAGAAATAGATAAAATATTTAAGACAACCCAACAACAAATCAAAACAGCAAGAAACATAGAAAACCAAACAGCAAAAAACCAACACATAAAGAACTACATCGAACGAAGATACCAAAACTTCCAAAACAATACATCCAAAATGATAAAAAGTATACTCAAAAAACATATAGACCCTGTTATATTACATAATATTCACACACCAGACAACATAATCACAGAACCTCAGGAGATCAAAACAGCAATACAGGAATATTTCAAAAACTGGACGAAGCTAAACCTTACCCAAACAAAACTATGGCAAGAATAGACAGAAGAATACAAACCTATCCAAACGATTGACCCAACATGGTATAGCACAATCACAACAAAGATTACACCTCTCGAATTAGAGACTACAATCAAAGAAGCACCCAATATAAAGGCCACCGGACTCTCAAAGATATCAAATGAAATGTTAAAACACCTAGGCCCTTGAGCAAAAACTACAATTCTAGATATACTCAACAACTGTCTGTCACTACACAACATACCCGCTACATAGAAACATGGTACAATATACCTTATATAGTCCAGTGCAAAAAAGTTAATATACGAAGATTGTTACCTAAATTTCTTTTATGATGCAAAACCCAGAAATCAAGTCAGGTGAGTATAAAATTTATATAAAAAGTTAAGATCGTTTTGAATTTTAGATTTTTCTCATGAATATTATTTTTTTTTTCCCATGGATGAGTTGGATCAAGACAGAAGTTTCTTGACCAGCAATGAAAAGAAGATGATCCTTCGTGTTCATCAGTACTTTTTAGCTAACCAACAATGCCAGCAGCAACACCAAGTCTTACTACTACGCAAGGAAGTTGCTGAGGTTTTTGGAATTGGAGAGGCAACGGTCATGCATGTGGTTGCTGAGTATAATAAAGGCAACAGTGAAGGATCTCTACCACCACCTAAAACTCAAGGCTGGCCAAAAAAAAAGGATAGATAGTAATTTTGTTGAACTTTTACGTGGTTTTATTCTTGCTATAAATAGTTCCGGTACTCCACTATCCACACCAGTATTACGTTAAAAGCTTAAAAAAAAAGGGTTTACCCTTTCAAAGTGGTAGTTACTTCGTGTGTTGCATGCGTTAGAATATTATTACGGTCGTGGTGAACGTCAGAATATGTTACATGAATCACGAGAAAATGTTAGTTTTCGTAATCGTTATTTGAGACGTAGGTTTGAAAATTTACAAGGAAAAAATAAAGTTCTAACTAGACCTGAAGTTTTTTTGGATGAGTCGTTCTGTCATTTGAATCATACAACTGATCGTACTTGGGTGCCGAGTCATGGAGTTGTATATTCTTCTGGTCATGGTCCTTTGATTATAATGTTTGGCACAATAATTGTAATGCGTAATTGTAATACTAATAAACTTAATGGTGAAATCATTCTTAATTCACTATATTTGTGGGATCCATCAATAAAACCACCATCATCAAAAGGAAGAAAGCGAGCAAATGCTGATGGTTGGAATAATATTCCCGATATTGTACAAAATTCCAATATCGTAGCGAACCAGGTTGATTACCATGGCAATTTTATAGCTGAAATTTTTGAAGATCTTTTTGATAAACTCTGTGTGAATATTGCAGAGTGTTATGAACCCGTTGATATTCATATGGATGGTGCTCGTTACCACAAGCATCGAATTAAACAAGTACCAACATCGAACTCAAGAAAGAATACGATCATCACATAGTTATCATCAGCCAGAATTAACTTCTTAGAAAATTCTAGCAAGGTAGAGCTTTATGAATTAGTAAAATTAAATAAGAATAAAGTACCTTTTGCATGTGTTAAAATTGCTGAAAAGTATGGTTATAATTTGCTTTACACTCTACCTTATCACTGTGAACTTCAACCTATTGAAGGAGTTTGGTCAATTGTGAAAGATGAAGTTGCTAGAACTGGTCTTTATTCTAATCTTCTTGCTATTAGAAATAAATTGTTACAAGCTTTTAGAGAAAAGGTTACTTCAAGAGTTATTGTTGGGTTTTGGAAAAGATCACTTGATAAAGCTATAAAATATAAAAAATTAAGTGATAAAGTATTATTGGTTGAAAGTGATTGTGATGATTCTGAAATTGAAGAAGATAATAATTAGTAAAATTTTTTATACAAGATTAAAATTTTAATAAAATTAATATAGAATAATATTTTAAAACTTAAATTTTTTTAAAATAATTTTAAATATATATATTAATGTTTAAAAAAAATTTTTTTATTATAGGTATATTGGTGTATCAACCTTTTTGCACCAGACCATATCAAAAAAAGCAATATTCACAGGTAACCTAAACCAAACATGCCCATTACACTAATAGAACATATTAGAAAAATTCTCACAAAAATTATAATATGGAGACTTGACCCCATACTATCCAAATACAACATACTAAACCCAAACAATTATGTAGCCCTAGCCAATACCTCTATAGCAACACCAATACATACTCTTCAATATATAATAGAAGATGCCCAGACAAACAAAAAAGAACTATAGTTATTATTACAGAACATGAGTAAGGCCTACGACTCAGTACATATACCACTCTTAATCAAAGCACTACATCATATCAAGATACCCAAACACATAACAAACATCATAAATAATATACTATCTCACAGACACAACAATATCATCACCAATCATAGACTAACTAACAAATACCAAGTTCAAGACAATATAGACCAAGAGGAAACTATAACTCCACTACTATAGAGGATATACTATGACTCCTTGCTGACCTGAATCAACAAAAATCACCCTATATACACAATAAGAACAACAACACCACAGCCAACACATATACAACACAAATGTCTCAGCAAACAACAAAATGTATTGGTATATATGGATGACACATTATGGATAGCAGAAAACAAACCAAACTTACAGACACTAATAGATATAGCTAATTCCTTCTACAAAATGACAGGAATCACAGTCAATCCACACAAGTCAATACTAGCTACCAACTACAAACCGAAGAAAAAAGATGAACCAGTATATATAACATTTAACAGCACCAATATACACCCAATATCATCTAAACATTGCTTCTAATTTCTCAGATACTACTACAATATTCATATTAGTAAAACATCAATACAGAAAAATATAGTAAAAGAAATAAATGATGCCTTAAAGCTACTTCAAAAATCAACAATCACATAGAAACAAGCAATATATATAATCAATATAGTCATCCTAACACATTTCGAATACTGAATACAAAACTATATATTCGCCAAATCACAATATGACAAAACCACAAACAGATATACTTTGATCGTCAAACACAAAGCTAGTATGTCTAGAGCTATACCCAATTCAATCTTTTATAACTACAGAATATACACACTCCAGACACTATGGAACATACAATGCCAACACCATATAAGCAAGATAACACAACAAATCAATAACCCAGACCTATATAATTCATCACTATATATACGCATACAACAACTACAAAATGCAGCCAATACAAACACATCAATATTGGCTAACGCATCATATATACTTCCTATAGCTAAACATAATACAACCACAGCTAAAAGGATTCAAATACTACACAACAACCATTTCACAATAATAAACAACATTAGCAACTGGTCTGGACCCCTTAGAAACAGAGAAAACAGTATAAACAAGACACTTATAGATTCATCACTGCATACAAGCAAGATTAATGCTTAGCAACTCAAGGCTAAACTTAACAAACACAGAATCAACTTTATCAAACAGCTGACAAGCTTAAACAACATACAAACAATTAGCTGGAAAGAAATATCACATACTATACACAAAATACCAACAGGCAAAGAACTAGCATGGTTCAAAACAATCACAAGAATAATCGAAATACAGATCTAGCAAATAAACCAATTAATACTACACATACCAAATCCATACATAATTAATAACAAAGAAATAACCAAAAACAAATGAATAATAACTCAGATAAAAAACCAAAATATAATCAGAAAGATAACAGCAAAATGTGGCCATGACAATATAAAATTAACATACTGGATATATACAAAAGACAAACACCAATCACAACAGCTCACACAATACAACCAATATAAACTAATAACTACAATACATCACGGCAAATACACTATACAAACAATTTTCCAAAACTACAGCATAATACAAGTGAGCTATAGCAAACGAATATATAGCAATACAAAAGAAATACAAATAGCACTATGATACACACAACAACAAAATCCTACATATCAAAAAAAACAACCCATCCTAGCTACCCAAGGATCAAAAAAACTACAACAAACATTACAAATATACAACAGCATATTTCCGCAAACAACAATCAACACAATGCTAATCAAAATAGCAAAAGATATCATTATGAACAAGAAAACACTGGCAATAATCACAACACATAAAGGAATGAATAATGAACAACCAATATATGGATTTATTTGGGAAATCTGCCAAATAAACATTAAACTAACCAACAAAATTACAAACTGGCCATCAAAAACAATAGTGATATTAACAGCAATCTTAATATTAATAGCCATTATACTAATCAATACAATACTAAAAATACTTACAACAGCACCTCACATCGCTAAAACATATCAACAATATAGTACAATCAAATATAATAGGAAAAATATCATAACAAAAAACTAACACTAGCCATACTGGTGCAATATCTTCACACTCACAGCAAAGAAAAATATCCAACTAAAACTATTAACAATATCAAGCGAATCTCTAGCACTTACAAAACTATATGCCAAAACAAACTTTGACGCCAACATACAAGAAATAATACCACAATTTCAACAAACTGATTATACAATATATATATTTACATGGTTCGATTACACAACAATACAAAAAACAAGAAGACTAATCAGAAACATACAGAATGCAAAAAACCTAGCAATATAGCATTTACAAAACTGGATACAAAAATAGGCCAACATACAAGATATCGACTAGGAATTAACATATGTATTTATCAGCTATAATGCTATACCCACAACTCGACAAACACATCCAACCCATTCTAAACTAAAGGCCTTCAAGATAAAACTTCTTCTAGATAAACTGCCAACCCTTCAGAATCTGAGCAAGTGAAATCTACAAAGATACCCAAAAATACAATGCAAAATATGCAATATAGAAGAAGAAACAAATACATACTGGCTGATATGCCCAAGAAACCCAACTAACATTAACACTTTTATAAATAGTATAGCTAGAAAATTT